GAGTTCTACTCTGTCCTACAGGGTTGCTATGAGTCAGAATCGGCACCGGGTTTTGGTTTGAGGTAGCCATTTCATATAAAGCGGGATCGTATGACATAACAGTATTCGTCCTTTTGTGTCTGACTTCCTTCACTCAGCATAATGTTCTGAAGGTTCATGTCATAGCATGTATCAGAACTTCACTTCTCTTCATGGCTGAGTAATACCTCTCTATATGGATGGACCACATTCTGTTTATCTGTTCATCTGCTGGCAGACACTTGGGTTGTTTCTGCCTTTTGCCTACTGTGAACAGCGCTGCAGTGAACATTGGTGTACGAGCAACTGAGTCCCTGCTTTCAATTCTTTTACGTATATACTTAGGAGTGGAATTGCTGGATCCTATGGGAATTCTACGTTTAACTTTCTGAGGGACCGCCAAACTGCATTTTTAAAAATAAATGTTCTGGGAGTCCCCGGGTGGCACACACAGTTAAGTGCTCCACCGCTAACTGAAAGGTTGGTGGTTTGAATCCACCCAGAGACACCTCAGCGATCTACTTCTGAAATGTCATAGCCATAGAAGAAAATGGTAGTAAATGTTCAATTTTAGAACAGTTGTAGATTTCCGGGCACGCTGTGAAGATAGTTCAGGTCCCCATACACCCTACACTGGGTGTCCCCGTGGGCCACTTACACTCCGTGGAGCACTTGATGTAATTACTGTGCAAATACTGATCCGTGATCATGAAGTAAAGCCCACGCTTTGTGCAGATTTCCTCAGCTTCCCCTAACGTCCGTTGTCTGTCCCAGGAACCCACTCAGGGCACACAGGACATTTAGTCATCACATCTCCTCAGGCTCCTCTGGGCGGGGACGGTTTTCCAGACTTCCCTTGTTTTTGCTGCCCTTGGCCATTACGAGGAGTGCGGGTCAGTTGTTAAGGAGCCCTGATGGCACAGTGGTTAAGCGCTCGGCTGCTAACCGGAAGGTCGGCAGTTCGAACCCACCAGCCGCTCCGTGGGAGAAAGATGTGGCAGTCTGCTTCTGTAAAGATTTGCAGCCTTGGAAACCCTACAAGGCAGTTCTACTCGGTCCTACAGGGTCGCTATGAGTCGGAATCAACTCTACGGCAATGGGTGGGTTCAGTCGGTTGTTTTTTAGGATGCCCCTCAGTTGAGATTTGTCTGATGTTTTTTCATGATTAGATGGGGTGATGGGTTTTGGAGAGGTCACTGGGTGGTGGAAATGGTTTGTGCTCAACTGCTAACCTAAAGGTTGGTGGTTCAAACCCGCCCAGCAGCACTGCAGGAGAAAGACCTGGCAATCTGCTTCCATAAGAATTACAGCCAAGAGACTAAACCAAAGCTAAGAAGTTTCCTGAATACAATCAAACACTTTGAGGGACAGAGTAGTAGGGGCAGGGGTCTGGGGACCATGCTTTCAGGGGATATCTAGGTCAATTGGTATAACAAAGTTTATTAAGAAAACATTCTGCATCCTACTTCGGTGAGTGGCATCTGGGGTCTTAAAAGCTTGCAAGCGGCCATCTAAGATGCATCAATTGGTCCCAACCACCTGGAGTAAAGGAGAATGAAGAACACTAAAGACACAAGAAAAGTATTAGCCCAAGAGGCAGAAAGGACCACATAAACCAGAGACTCCATCAGCCTGAGACCAAAAGAACTAGATGGTGCCCGACTACCACCAATAACCACCCTGACAGGGAACATAGTAGAGAGTCACGGATGGAACAGGATAAAGGTGGGGTGCAGAACTCAAATTCTAGTAAGAAGACCAGACTTAATGGTCTGACTGAGACTGGAGGAACCCCAGAAAGCACGGCCCCCGGATTCTCTATCAGCACAGAACTAAAACAGTTTCTGAGGCCAACTCTTCAGACATGGATTGGACTGGACTGTGGGACATAAAGTGATACTCGTGTGGAGTGTGCCTCTTAGCTCAAGTAGATACAAGAGACTAAATGGGCAGCTTCCGTCTGGAGGTGAGATGGGAAGAGGGTTAGTAGCTGGTTGAATGGACACGGGGAATCGGGTCGAAAGGAGGAGTGTGCTGTCACAGTATGGGGAGAGCAATTAGGGTCACATAACAATATATGTATAAATTTTTGTATGAGAGACTAACTTGAAATGTAAACGTCATCTAAACTACAACAATAAAATAATAAAAAAAAGAATTGCAGCCAAGGAAACCCTATAGAGCAGTTCTACTCTGTCACACAGGGTCGCCAGGAGTCAGAATCCACTCAACAGCAATGGGTTATGGGTTTGGGGAGGAAGACCCCAGAGGTGAGGTGCCCTCTCATCCCATCATCTTGAGAGTGCACACAATCAACCTGTCAACATGTCCCATCACTGCTGATGTTGACCTTGAATACCTGGCTAAGGTGTGTTTGTCAGGCGTCTCCACGGTCAAGTCGCTCTCTCCTGCCTCCTTTCCATCCTGTGCGCTCTGGAAGGAGGTCATTGCACAGCCCATACCTGAGGACTGAGGAGTCCTGCCCTTCCTTCTGGAGGATGGAGCCCCCTGACTCATGACCACCCCATGCACAACGGAACCAAACACTGCCTGGTCTTGTGCCATCCCCATGGTTGGTTGCAGATCGGACCGTTGTGATCCATAGGATTTTCACTGCCTGATTTTCAGAGGTCAGCTGCCAGGCCTTTCTTCCTAGTCTCTCTTACTCTGGAAGCTCCACTGAAACCTGTTCAGCATCCTAGCAACATACCAGCCTCCACGGACAGACAGGTGGTGGCTGTGCACGAGGTGCCCTGGCTGGGAATCAAACCCAGGTCTCCCACATAGAAGGCCAGTATTCTACCTTTTAGCTCAGTAATGAAGGCACTCCCGAGGTTCACCATTCAGCCAAAGATTAGACAGCCCCATAAAACAAAACAAGACTAATGAGGCACAGCAATCCAGGGGCAAGGGCTAGAAGGCAGGAGGGGACAGGAAAGCTGGTAATAGGGAACCCAAGGTTGAGAAGGGACAGTGTTGACATGGCGTGGGATTGTTAACCATTGTCATAAAATATGTGTACTCACTGTTTAATGAGAAGCTATTTGTTCTGTAAACCTTAAAGTACAATAAAAAAAAAAAAAGAAGGCCAGTATTGTACCACTGAGCCACCACAGCCCCCCTGAAGATGGAGTAACCACATAAATTATTAGGAATTCTTCTGCACAGAAACTTTATCTCCTCTCTCCTATTTATTTATTCGATCGTTTACGTGCGTCAGTGTGGAGCCGTGGACACTTATTTTATCTTTTGGCTTACAGTCCAACGCTGTGTTATTTATTCTGTGGGTCAGACTGTTCCAACATTAGGGACACTCTTCCCAGTGGCCCCTGGGCCCCTTTGCCACACAGCATCTCGAATTTTATAGTCAGTAGTTCTACGCAGACCAACCCACACGGGCCTTGCCACATCGAGAATGCAGCTTATATTCTGAAGTATGTAGAACCGTGTGAACTGGAACCAGCCCCTCATTCTCTCTGGCTCTCAGCTTTCCCCAGCTGTTTCAGCTGCCTAGCGCTGCTGGAACAGAAATACCACAAGGGGGTGGCTTTAATGCACAGAAACTTATTTTCTCACAGTTTAGGAGGCTAGAAGTGCAAATTCAGGGCGCTGGCTCTAGGGGAAGCTTCTCTCTGTCTGCTCTGGGGAAAAATCCTTGTCTCAGCTTCTCTAACGTTCTTCTTGGCATTCCTTGGTGATCTCCACGGGGCATCTGCCTTTCCCCCATTCAGGCTTATTTCTCGATGCCCAATCTGCTCTTTTTATATCTCAAAAGTGCTTAGGGTTAGGACCCACCCTAGGATGTATGGCCTCGGTAACAGAACAGAGAAAACCCTATTCCCAGATAGGATCACATCCACAGGTATAGGGGTTAGGATTCTAACACATATTTTGGGGGAACACAATTCATCCATAACGCCATCCATGAAAAGAAAAGGCCTATATTAATTAAATGACTTACCCACTAATATTTGTTTGTTAAAGTCAATTTTTTAAAAATAATATTTTATTGTGTTTTTGGTGAAGGTTTACGCAGTGGTTTATGTTCCCATTCAACAATTTCTACACAAGTTGTTCAGTGACATTGGTTACATTCTTCACAATGTGTGAACATTCTCATTACTTCTGTTCTGGTTGTTCTGTTTCCATTCATCTAGTTTCCCTGCCCCCCTTACGTTCTCATCTTTGTTTTAAAGTAATTGTTGACCATTTGGGCTCATAATGGTGATTTTTTAAAGGGGCACAATAGTCACAGGTAATATTCTTTATTTTTTGAACAGATCTGTTATTTAGCTACAAGGTGACCTCAGGGGTTAGTTTCGGTTCAAAATCTGAAGAGTATCTCAGGGCTATAGTCTTGGGAAGTCCTCCAGTCTCAACTGGTCCACGAAGTCTGTTTTTTTTTTTTTTTTTTTTTTTTTAGGAATCTGAAATTCTGTTCTACATTTTTCTCCCATTCTGTCAGGGTCCATCTATTGTGGCCCTGACAAAACAGTCATTGGTGGTAGCCGGGCACCATCTAGTTCCTCTGGTCTCAGAGTAGATGAGGCTGTGGTTTGTGTGTAATTCCTGTAGACTAGTTCTTCTTTGAGTCTTCGGTTTCCTTCTTTCCTTTTTGCTCTGGACAAGTAGAAACCAATAGTTGTACCTTAGACGGCCACTCGCAAGCTTTTAAGAACCCAGGCACTACTCACCAAACTAGAGTGTAGAACATAACTTTATGAACTGTATTTTGCCCGTTGACTGAGATATCCATGCAGCTATGGTCCTAAGCCTCCAGCACCCCACCTTCCACCCCCGCTAACGTTTTATGAGTTTCTGTGCTAATGGAGAAGCGTATTTTGGCTTGATGATCCCCAAAGCTAAAAATATTTTGTTCCTGTTATTGTTTTATCGGAACATGCTTGGCCGAACCTGCCCGCGTCACTCCATGCTCCTGGGGCCGGGTTTGCGGTGCCTGGTGGCTGATGCTGGGTCCGCAGGCCTCTCCCAGAGGAGACGGGGATGGATTCGCTGGATGGACCTGCCGGAGACGCAGCGTGTAAGTTTCCACACATGCAGACATGCAAGCGCCCATTACAGGCTTCCAGGTTTCAGATTTGCCTGGATAGTAACCCTAGAAATGTCAAAGTTGAGGCTCTCTAAAAGGTCAGAAAAGGGGGTGCTCTCCAAGGCCAACCGGGAGCCCCTGAGGTCGGCTGAGATGGGTCTTTCTGGCCTTGCCAGCCCCCACCTGAGTCGCCTTATTAGCATAAACCCTCGGGTGTGGGCTGGAGTCCTCATGGATAATAAAAACTGTAAGCAGAGGAGAATTCCAAGGTTTTAGAGGTTATCTAAGGCCACTGGGTGGTTCAAATGGTTTGCACTTGCTATTAACCTAAAGGTTGGCAGTTGGAACCCATGCAGCAGCACCACGGAAGAAAGGCCTGGCAATCTGCTTCCGTAAAGATTACAGCCAAGAAAAGCCCATGGAGCAGTTCTACTCTGTAACATGTGGAGGCGCCATGAGTCAGAATTGACTCCGCGGTAATGGATCGGGAAATGGGGAGGAGGAAAAAGAAAGAGCCCCAAGCCTGTGGACTTTCCCATTCTCTTGCAGCCCCCCCAAACACTTTAAACTTCAATGGGGCTCATCGTAAAAGAAAGACGCTCGTCGCCCCAGAGATCAACATTTCCCTGGATCAAAGCGAGGGCTCTCTACTGTCTGACGACTTCCTAGACACCCCGGATGACCTGGACATCAACGTGGATGACATCGAGACCCCCGACGAGACCGACTCGCTGGAGTTCCTGGGGAACGGCAACGAGCTGGAGTGGGAAGGTGAGGAAGCTGTGGTGGCTCGATGGTAGAATCCTCGCCTTCCATGCGGGAGACCCGGGTTCTATTCCCGGCCACTGTACCTCATGCGCAGCCACCACCCGTCTGTCCGTGGAGGCTTGTGTGTTGCCATGAGGCTGAACAGGTTTCAGCGGAGCTTCCAGACTAAAACAGACCAGGAAGAAAGGCCTGGTGATCTACTTCCAAAAAAAAAAAATCAGCCAATAAAAACCCTATGGATCACGACGGTCCATTGTGCGTATGGTAGCCATGAGTCAGAGGCCAACCTGATGGCAGCTAACAACCAGGGTATCTGTCACCAACTAGGAACTGAAATTCTCCGCCCGTTCTGTTCTACTGTACTTGTATTATAATTCCAAGATGGCCAGATTTCTTTCAGCTGGAAGCTTCATTTGTAAATGTTTTGGGGAATGGATGTTCTTTCTTTGGTAGCTATTCTGCGTTCTTCCGGCCGCTCTCATCCCTCCCCGGCCCTCTAGTTTCAAGTGCAGCCGACTGGCTCTCGGCCCTGTGCAGTCTGCATTCCGACCAGTCGCTCAGTGTGGCCCTGAAACCTGACTTAGACTTCCTTTGGCTTCCCCTGGCAGCTTGCTGGAGCCCCTCAAGCCCCAGACTCAGAGAGCCACAGCAAGAGGGCAGGTGGGATGAGGGTTCCAACCTGGGGCTCGGGAACAGCGCCAGTGCCTACAGCTTAACAGGCATTTCTGTGGCGGGTGGGTGTGTGTCTTCCCCTGGGGACATGGCCTTTATAAACAGATTCTCAAAGGCCACCGAGACCTCAGCAAAGTGCATCCGATGGACTTAGCATCGGGCGAGTATTTCTTCTGGAGGTCCCTTGGTAGCGTGAACGGTTTGTGCTCAACTCTAACCAAAAGGATTGGCAGTTCGAACCCACCTAGTGGCACCTCGGAAGAAGGGCCTGGCGATCTGCTTCCGTAAAGATTACAGCCCAGAAAACCTTGCTGTGCGGTTCTGCTGTGACACGCATGAAGCATGGGGTCATCAAGAGTTGGAATTGACTCAACAGCAGCTAACAACAACAATGACAACGTTTATTCTGGGGCAGATCCTGACTGACCTGCCTGAGCTACCGCGGGGGCAGAAACAGACACTCCCTACCCACACACGTAGTCAGAAAGGCAGATGCTCAATAACGAGACGAGTCTGCAGAAGCAGCTGGTAATCAGTGCTCAGAGGAAAATAAGAGAAGGGTGATAGAGCAGGGGTTCTGCCCCCAGGGGACACTGGGTGATGTCTGGGGACATTTATGGTTGTCATGACGGGGGGAGGGTGCTACTGGCATTGAGCGGGTGGAGGCCAGGGGTGCTGCTCAACACCCTGCAGTGCACAGGACGGCCCCACTCCAGAGGAGGGTCAGACTCCCATGTGCGCAGTGAAGGGGAGAAGCACTAGGGTAGAGCACTAGGTGGGAGCTCCTTTTGAAGGGGGTCGGGAAAGGCTGAACGTGAAGACATTGGAAAGAACGCTCTGGCAGGTGAGCGGGGGAACAGGCCAGAGGGAGGGCTCCATGGCTGGATGCAGGCACTGTGGTGACTGGGTGGATGATGTTGAGGACTGGGCAGGATCTGGGGACTGCCAGAGCATGGCAGGCAGGAGTAGGAGGACCCTGACCCTCACCTGGGGCCAGGGCTAGACTTGATCCTGTCTCTCGGTGTGCCTGGCTCCAAGGAGGGTAAGACACGCAGGATGCCCACCTCACACCCATGAGTCCCCGTGTGGCTTGATGAAGCAGACGCTTTCACCATCTCTGGGAGGCCAGCAAAGGGGGTGTCCAGGAGGGCTTCCTGGAGGAGGTGGCATCTGAGCCAGGACTTGAAGGGGGATTAGGCGAGGAAGATGGGCAAGCAGAGCAGCCAGGTGGAGGGAGCATATGGGCAAAGGCTGACGGGAGAGAGATCTGGGATATGTGGCCATCTGCAGTCAAGAGTGCAGAGAGAGGGAGGCTGGGTGGGGAGTTGGGATGAAATCCAGGGGTTCCCTTCATGCAACGCAAGAGATCCAGACTCAGGCATCCCCTTGGCTCACTCCCGGCCTCTTCCAGATGACACCCCCGTGGCCACTGCCAAGAACATGCCTGGGGACAGTGCAGATCTGTTTGGGGACAGCACAGCAGAGGATGGCAGTGCTGCCAATGGGCGCCTGTGGCGGACGGTGATCATCGGGGAACAAGAGCATCGCATCGACCTGCACATGATCCGGCCCTACATGAAGGTGGTGACCCACGGAGGTGAGAGCAGCACCCTTGGCTCCCCCAGGCCTGCTAGGCAACTGGGGTCCTCTCTGAACCTCAGTCTCTTCATCTGATCTACAAGGACATTAAGCCTCCCTGTCAGGGTGGGGGAGGGGTTGGGGTGTGGATGAAGCACGGATCACAGGGCTGCCCCTGATAGTGGCTCTCGTTCCCCACTGGAGGCGGAAACAGACCTGCTAGGCTGTGCGACTCGGAGCTGTGTGCACCTGGCCAGGCGGATAGTGGGAAGGGCTGGCCGGCGAGGTGGATGGGGAGGGTGCACGGGGCGGCTGGGAGCCCATCAAGGGCTCTGCCCGCACTGCTGGGGGGTTAACACGCTGCGCCCGGCTGCCTCCCCCCAGGGTACTACGGTGAAGGCCTCAATGCCATTATTGTTTTCGCGGCCTGCTTCCTCCCGGACAGCGGCACCCCCGACTATCACTACATCATGGAGAACCTCTTCCTGTAAGTCTCCTGTGCTCCCTGTGGGGCAGCTGGGGCGGCCCAGGCCACGAGAACCACGTGGGGGTCTGGGGGGCGCTGCCGGGCACCAGGGAGGGGCAGACCGCCAGCAGAGCCCCATCAAGCTTAAGGAATAGATCTGTCAAGTCGGAAACCCTGGTGGTGCAGTGGTTAAGAGCTACGGCTGCTAACCAAAAGGTCGGCAGTTCGAATCCACCAGGTGCTCCTCAGAAACTCTATGGGGCAGTTCTGCTCTGTTCCCTTAGGGTCGCTATGAGTTGGAATCAACTCGACGGCAATGGGTTTGGCCGTCAAGTCAGTTCTGACTCATGGGGACCCCACGTGTGTCAGAGTAGAACCGTGCTCGGCAGGGTTTTCAAGACTGTGACCCTTCGGAAGCAGATCACCGGGCCTGTCTTCCGAGCAGCCTCTAGCGGGGTTTGAACGGACAGCTTTGCTGCTAGTAGACGAGTGCTTAACCATTTGCACCACCCCGGGGCCCCTGGCTCCTGATCCCTGCTAGCCCACTTGCTCACCGTGCAGCCTTCTTTCTGAGCCCCCGGCTCCCCGTCGGCCTGAATCATCCCCATCGCTGTTGTTGTCTATGAAGCATTTACCGTGTACTCACGTCTCCCAGGCTTGGTGGGGAGGTTAGATGAGATACAGCATATGAAGCACTTGGCCCGTAGTGAGTGCTCAATAAAATGAGCTACTTTTACTACTACTGGGAGCCGTAGGGCATGATGGTTAAGTCCTCAGTTGCTGACTGTAAATGGTGGCTGTTCAAACCAGGGCTTCAAACCAGTTCATTCCTGTTCAAACCCCTGCTGAGAATTTGCATTTCTCTTTTTTTATTGTGCTTTAAGTGAAAGTTGACAATTCAAGTCAGTCTCTCATACAAAAATTTATACGTACATTGTTATGTGACCCTAGCTGCTCTCCCTATACTGTGACAGCACACTCCTCCTTTCCACCCCGGATTTCCCGTGTCCATTCAACCACCTCCTGGCCCTCTCTGCCTTCTCTTCTCACCTCCGGACAGGAGCTGCCCGTTTAGTCTCATGAATCTACTTGAGCTAAGAAGCACACTCTTCACAAGTATCATTTTATGTCCCATAGTCCAGTCTAATCTTTGTCTGAAGAGTTGGCCTCAGGAATGGTTTTAGTTTTGGGCTAACAGAGTCCGGGGGCCATGTCTTCTGGGTTCCCTCAAGTCTCAGTCAAGCCATTAAGTCTGTTTTTTTTTTACTAGAATGTGAGTTCTGCACCCCACTTTTCTCCTGCTCCATCAGGGACTCTCTGTTGTGTTCCCTGTCAGCGCGGTCACTGGTGGTAGCCGGGCACTATCTAGTTCTTCTGGTCTCAGGCTGATGGAGTCTCTGGTTTATGGGGAATCTGCATCTCTAACAAGTTCCCAGGCAATACTAGTGATGCTGGTTAGGGACCAATTCTGAGAACCACTAGTAGAACCACCGAAACCAAACCAAACCCATTGCCATGGAGTCGATTCTGCCTCACAGCAACCCTATAGGACAGAGTAGACCCTGTAGGACCGAGTAGAACCTATAGGACCAAGTAGAGCTGCCCCGTAGGGTTTCTAAGAAGCAGCTAGTGGATTCGAACTGCCAACCTTTTGGTTAGCAGCTGAGCTCTTAACCACTGCGCCACCAGGGCTCCACTAGGAGAGCAGTGGTTCTCAAAGTATATTATACATAAGAATCACCTGGGGATCTTGTTAAAATGTAGATTCTGATTCAGTGTATCTGGGGTGGAAACGCAAGTTCTCAGCAGGTGTTCAAACCGGAATGAACCAGTTCAAAGCCCTGGTTCGAACCCACCCCTCGGCTCCATAGGAGAAAGACCTGGCGATCTGCTCCCATAAAGAAGACAGCCTAGGAAACCCTACAGGGCAGTTCTAGTCTGTCACATGGGCTCACTGTGTCAGAATCGGCTTGACAGCACCCAACAACAACCACAACATTACTATCACTATTGTGCCCACTACAGAAATTTGGGGTGGGTTGGGGTCGCCCGCACTCACTCCCATTGGAGCGTGTCAGGACAGACAGTAACACCTGAACAGGTGTAGCTGGCACATCTGGGGCAGGAAAGAGGGTGGCACTACTCCCTGCGCCTGGGTCTTCCTGACTCAGCCCCACTGCACTGGGTCTCTGTCATCTGCCTCCCATACCAGGTATGTCATCAGCAGCCTGGAGCTCCTGGTGGCCGAGGATTACATGATCGTGTATCTGAACGGCGCCACGCCCCGGCGAAGGATGCCCGGCATCGGCTGGCTGAAGAAGTGTTACCAGATGATCGATAGGAGGTGGGCCGGGCACAGGGGGCCAGGGGCGGGAGCCACCTCAGGGTGGAAAAGCATGCACAGCGAGGGACCCTGATGGCTGTGGACCTTCTGAAGGTGGTTGGAACCAAGGGTGCCCAGGAAACTCTCAGAAATGGAGACGGTGTGGCCACAGGGTCAAGAGCTAGGGCTCTAAATTAAAAGAGAGAAACAGGAGTCCCTGGGTGACACAAACAGTTAAGCGCTTGACTACTAATTGAAAGGTTGGCAGCTCAAACACACTCAGAGGTGCCTCAGAAGAAAGGCCTGGTGATCTGCTTCCCAAAGATCACAGACTTGAAAACCCTGCGGAGCACAGTTCTACGCTACACACATGGGGTTGCCATGAGTTGGAATTGACTCAACAGCGACTGGTTTGGTTTTTTCCCTTAGGGTTAGAAGTCAGCTCCCCCTCTGCAAAGAGGCCTTGGCCTCGGTTTGTGGGCTTGTAGACGATCCTTACATGGTGTTTCTCTTCCCTGCTCCCTGTGTGTGTGGGGGGGTGTGGGTGTGGGGGTGGGTGTGTGTGTCTAATCTTCTCTTTTTATAACTCAGAAATGATTAGGTTTAGAACCCACCCTGTTCAGATATGGCCTAATTAACATAAAAAAGAAAAGCCTGTTTCCAGATCGGATCACATCCACAGGTATAGGGGTTAGGATTCCAACACGGATTTTGAGGGGACATAATTTAACCCATAACAGGTGTGACAGCACAGACTTGGCTACTCAAACTCTGCCCGCCTGTGCACCAGGGGGGTCCCTCCCTCCCTCGGCCCACTTTGGGGTCTTAGGGGCTCAAGGGGTATATCTTTAATCCCTCGTGGGACCCACAACTCCTGGATGGGGTCACAGATTTGACAGGTACACGGAGGTACATAGAGGTACAGGTACCTGGTACAGGTACAGATATGTGGCACAGGTACATGGTACACGGTACAGGTAGATGGTATAGGTCCAGGTACCTGGTACAGGTGGATGGTACAGGTACCTGGTACAGGTGGATGGGATAGGTACAGGTACCTGGTATAGGTAGATGATACAGTACAGGTACATGAAGGACACCTGTGGAATGAATGAGTGATGAGCGCATGCATCCCTCTCTCCATCCCTTCCCCGCCCCCGCCCAGTCCCCCAGTTCCCAGTGCTCACACCCAGGGGTTCATCTCGCCCCTTTCGCCTCCCCCCACAGGCTGAGGAAAAACCTGAAGTCGTTAATCATCGTCCACCCGTCGTGGTTCATTCGGACGGTGCTGGCCATCTCCCGGCCTTTTGTCAGGTGAGAAGGGGGTTGTCCCCGCTCTCCAGTACCATCCCGGGTGGTTGGTTTGCTCGTCTGCATTTTCAGCTTCTCTGTGATGAAGATGTTTTATGGCTTTTGTAACAAGAACAAAACCATTTTAAATTATATCTATTTTTATTAAGGCAGGATTCCTGCTTTTCCGTCTGAGACCGAGTCTCTGTCCACTTTCCCTTTCCCCATCTGTCGTGCCGACCACAGGGGGACTCGTGTTGTGGGGGTAATTTTATAGTTTTCTTTGATTCTGAGGGGTCCCAAAGTGAGGTCATCAAATTTCCCCATGGGAAAAGAAACCAAAAGTGATAGAATTATCCGCACGAAAAGCGAACTCTGACCCTAAAGCCCCCTCTGCCCCTTTGTTCTTTTTCTTTTTTTAATTGTGGTAAAATATATAGAACCTAAAATTGGCTATTTTCACCTTCTTTTTTCTTTTTTGGAATTTATTTATTTTTGGTTGTTGCTGAGAATACACACTGCAGAACACACACCCATTCAGCGGTTTCTCCATGGACAATTCAGTGACACTGGTCACATTCTTCAAGTTGGGCAGCCATTCTCACCCTCCTTTTCCGAGTTGTTCCCCCGCATTGACGTAAACTCACTGCCCCCCTAAGCTTCCTAGTCAATCGTTCAATACGTGTTAGTTTTTAATTATAAAAGTAAATCAGAAATGTATGAAAGCAATTGACGATTTTGTCAGTTCTAGCCCACGATGACCACCGTGTGACTATCCATGGAGAGAATACCCGGATCATTTCCTAGTCAGTAACTGTTGGGGTTCCCCCAAGCAGTTGGCCTCTTTGCTCCTTTCAGACATTGTGAATTGCACTGGATGCTGGAAAGCTTGAGCCAAATTTCTGCCTAATCTCTCAAAATTAAAGAAAACTTCTCGACACACCTTGACACACTCTGGACTCTATTTTGGTTGGCTACCGCTATATTCTCTTGGCCTTGTGCTTCTTATCATTAAAAAAAATTATTTTACCTTGAAAATAATTTTATTTTATAGTTCACCAAATCTGGGTTTAATTTTTAAAAATTTATTTTTTTATTGTGCTTTAGGTGAGAGTTTACAGCTCAAGTTAATTTCCCATACAAAAATTTATACACATATTGTTTTGTGACATTAGTTGCAATCCCCACAATGTGACAGCATACTCCCCCTTTCCATCCCGGGTTTCTTGTGTCCATTCAACCAGCTCCTGTCCCTTCCTAGCTTCTCATCCTGCCTCGGACAGGAGCCGCCCATTTGGTCTCGTGTATCTACCTGAGCTAAGAAACACACTCCTCACGAGTTTGTTTTTTTTTAATTGTACTTTAGATGAAGGTTTACAGAACAAACTAGCTTCTCATTAAACAGTCAGTACACATATTGTTTTATGACATTGGTTAACAACCCCATGACATGTCAACACTCTCCCTTCTTGACCTTGGGTTCCCTATTACCAGCTTTCCTGTCCCCTCCTGCCTTCTAGTCTTTGCCCCTGGGCTGGTGTGCCAATTTAGTCTCATTTTGTTTTATGGGCCTGTCTAATCTTTGGCTGAAGGGTGAACCTCAGGAGTGACTTCAGTTATGAGCTAAAAGGGTATCTGGGGGCCATACTCTCGGGTTTTCTCCAGTCTCTGTCAAACCAGTAAGTCTAGTCTTTTTTTGTGAGTTAGAATTTTGTTCCACATTTTTCTCCAGCTCTGTCCAGGACCCTCTATTGTGATCCCTGTCAGAGCAGTCGGTGGTGGTAGCCGGGCACCATCTAGTTGTGCTGGACTCAATCTGGTGGAGGCCGTGGTAGTAGTGATCCATTAGTCCTTTGGACTAATCTTTCCCTTGTGTCTTCCATTGTCTTCATTCTCCCTTGCTCCCAAAGAGGTAAGGCCACTGGAATATCTTAGATGGCCGCTCACAGGCTTTTAAGACCCCAGACGGTAAAGAGTATTATTTTTGCTTTATAGTCCTGTCTAATTTTTGTCTGAAGAGTGGGCTTCGGGAATGATTTTGTCCTGGGTTAACAGAGCATCTGAGGGCCATAGTATCGGGGGTTCCTCCAGTCTCAGTCAGACCATTAAGTCTGGTCTTTAAAAAAAACATGTTTAATGGAACAACCAGAACAGACATATTGAGAATGTACATACGTTGTGAAGAATGTAACCAATGTCACTGAACAATTTGTGTAGTGATTGTTGAATGCGAGCCTAAACTGTTGTGTAAACCTTCACCAAAAACATAATAAATTTTTTTTTAATTGTTTTAAATCCGGTCAGCATGTAATCTCTAAAATCTACAAGATACTGCAAAACCTCAACAATAAAAAGACAAATAACCCAATTAAAAAATGGACAAAGGATATGAACAGGCACCTCGTCAAAGAAGACATTCAGGCGGCTAACAGACACATGAAGAAATGCTCACGATCATTAGCCATTAGAGAAATGCAAATCAAAACTACAATGAGATACCATCTCACCCCAACAAGGCTAGC